GGTCTGTACGAGTTTGTGGTGATGCCTTTTGGCCTTTGCAATGCTCCTGGCACCTTTCAGCACGCTATGAATCGGGTATTCCATGACTACTTGGATAAGTCTGTCGTCGTGTACCTCGATGACATACTTATTTTAGGTAAGACTGTCAAGGATCACGTAGCACACTTAGACAAAGTTCTCAGTCTCCTGCGACAGCACAAGTTCAAGATCAACGGTGAAAAGTGCGAGTTTGGCCGCACCCGTATCTTGTACTTGGGTCATGAGATCTCCGCGRAAGGGTTGAAGCCCGATGACGCGAAGGTGGCCAGCATTCGTGATTGGCCACGACCTCAGTCTGTGACTGAGATGAGATCTTTCTTAGGAATGACAGGCTACTACCGAACTTTTGTAAAGAACTATAGCATTGTGGCCGCTCCTTTGACTGATCTGACCCGCCTTGACACCCCGTGGGAGTGGACAGACGAGTGCGAGGCTGCTTTTAGACATCTGAAGCATGCATTGACGCACTATGAAGTCTTGAAGCTACCCGATCCTGATAAGCCATTTATAGTAACCACGGATGCTAGCCAATATGGCATTGGCTCCATGCTTGCGCAGCAGGAGGGGCCAAAGTTGAGGCCAATTGAGTACATGTCCAAGAAAATGTCGTCTCAGAAGTTGGCTAAGTCTACTTATGAGAAGGAACTCTATGCGGTGTACAAGGCTCTCACCCATTGGAGACACTATCTCCTTGGGCGGTTCTTCATCCTCCGGACTGATCATCAGACCCTGAGATGGATRAGAACACAAYCGGTRCTCTCAGATGCTCTCAAGCGWTGGATCGAAGTCATTGAGCAATATGACTTTGACCCTCAGTATCTCAAAGGGGAGTACAACAAGGTTGTTGATGCCTTATCGCGCAGACCGGACTTCTCAGGTGCGCTGATTACTGAGTTCGATCTGACGGASGATGTTACTCAGTCTTTGGTGGAMGCCTATCGTCAGGACCAGTTTATGTCTGAGATCATACGCAGACTAGAGGCGAAGGATAAGAAGACCTCCGCCGAGTTTGAGTTGGTCAATGGATTGTTGTTCCTAGAGAAGGCAGGGAATAAACGCTTGTGTGTTCCAAATAGCGAGTCATTGCGTAGTTTGTTTTTAGGTGAGTGTCATGATGCCAATGGCCATTTTGGGTACAAAAAGACCGCAACCAACTTGCTGCAGTGGTTCTGGTGGCCCACGATGATGAAAGATGCACAGCTGTACGTGGAAACTTGTCAAGTATGCCAAAGAGACAAGCCCCGTACTCAGGCTCCTCTTGGGCTGCTCAAGCCCGTTCCGATTTCGGAAAGGCCGGGTGAAAGTTTGTCCATGGACTTCATGGATACGCTGGTCACCAGCAAGAGTGGGATGAGACAGATCTTTGTCATCGTGGATAGGTTTAGTAAGTTTGCTAGATTAATAGCTATGCCAGAAACAACAAAGACCGAGTATGTGATCAGGTTATTTAAAGAGAACTGGGTCAGAGACTTTGGACTGCCGAAGTCAATTGTCAGTGACAGGGGCGTCAGGTTTACGAGTGAATTGTGGAAGGCCGCTGCAGTTGAACAAGGAACTCAACTGCAGATGACTTCTGGAAATCATCCAGAAGCTAATGGCCAGGCTGAACAAATGAACCGCGCTGTGCAACACCTGTTGAGGCACTACATCAAGCCCAATCAGGTAGACTGGGACGAAAAGCTTGCTCTAGTCGCCAATCTATATAACAACGTTGTACACAGTGCTACCGGGACAAGTCCTAACAGTCTACAACTGACATTCAAGCCTAGACTGCCCTTAGACTTCCTACTTCCAGACAACCAGTCAACTGCTACACCGGGCACTTTGGAGTTCGCCTATAGATATGAACAGAAGATGCAGGAGGCTGTAGAACACATGCAGAAGGCGCACGCAGCAATGATAGAGTCTGAGAATAGACACCGCCGCCCTTCTACATTCCAGGTTGGGGACAGAGTCTGGGTCAGGAGTTCAGAATTGGGACAGGAGTTCGGAATATCACGCAAACTCATGCCTCAATACTTTGGGCCTTGGGAAGTTCTAGACGTAGTAGGGACAGATCCTGATGGCCCATCATATGTCATCCGTATCCTTGGTCATCTCAGAACTCACCCTGTCTTTCACGCCTCTAAGCTCGCTGCGTTCGAGGAAACTGATCAGTTTCCCTCTCGTCGGTCAATGCTGCCCCCAACCATGGACGGAGAAGTCGACATCGATGATATCGTCGATCAAAGGAGATGCCTGTTCAGAAGCCTCCAGGAAGGGGACGTCCTCCAAAGCCAAAACTGCAGTTCCGTGTTCGCTTCAAACGTCACACGGATCCGAAAGAGGACCGCTGGTTTACTCGGGAGGAATTGATGCAGACCGCTCCTCAAATCGTTGCCCGCTATGAGAAGGATGTATTGAAAGGGAAGCGCCAGATGGCTCAAGATTGATCTTCGCAGAGGACTAACGAAGATATGGAGGAGGGAATGCGAGGCTACGCCCGCTTAGCCCCTAAGGGGCCCTATCTGCAACAAGGTCGGCCGCCCTAAGTGAAGGCAGGCACGACAGGCCCTTCGGGGCCTCATTCTTCAGGGTACCCCGCATCGGGGAAATTCAGACAGTTGCGTTGCGCCAGTTGGTTGAATGAATCCAGGCCCTGGGCCGCCTGTGTAAATGAATGTGAAGCAGGCCCTGGGCTGGATACAGATACCAGGCCAAGCACAGGCCGAAAGCAGTTGGGCGCATGCAACCACTTCAGGCCCAAGGCCTGCTCTCTTCGTGACTGGGCCTGTGCCTACCGACGCCTACCGGAAGCTTCCTGGACTAGAAGCAGGCAGGCCACTTCGATATAGGGAAGGGCCTGCCTCCTCATTCGGCATTCGGGTGCTGGCTGCATGCTGCGTGAGCGCTGCTGCGCAATCCGCTGGCTGGCTGGCACTCACACTCTCACGGGCGAGTAGGAGGGAGCACGCAGCCATAGCCAAGCTGCGCTGCTGTATGCTAGGTGAAGCGCAAAGTGGTCCTTGGGGTGCTAGTGGCATCTGTGCGGTGTCTGTCTCTTATACACATCTAGATGTGTATAAGAGACAGGTGCTGAAGCGTGCGACATTGGTCGCCATATGCTCGTACTTCGGGAACGTTGTTGATGTCATCATTCTGCTTCGTAGTATAGGCTAGATAGGATCTGTTACCTGTAGTCTGGGCGCCGAGCGCCAATAGGATATCAACTTTGGTTCGTAGTTGATGATGATGGGACTACTTCAGCATTGTCAATTTTGAACTCTTGGTGTGTTCTTATTTGGTGTATCTCGTGATGCAAGTCTGCTGTGGTTCGAGGTCAAGACTATCTGGACTCGTATGTATGATGCTGTTTGATTGCTAAAGTTTGCTAATGCTCATCTTCCTTGCAATTTTCACCCTTCGGACTTTTCTTTTGAGGGTGTTAGGGTGCAGGGTACAAACAAAGTAAGATGACACAAACTTATGTTCTTCTTTTACTGCATTCTTCATAGTTTTGCAGTTTTAGTGAAGGGTTCCCCACCTTTGCACATTCTTGTACACTCTGTTCAACGCACCTGCACATTTTTGTCAGTGTGCAAGGTACGTCTAAGTAAGACCCTCACGACAGATAGGACAAATGTCATAAGGATGCGGGCGATGGTAGCAGCCCTCCCACTCATCTACAGGACGTAAACCATTCAGGTAAGCAACTTCGTCACAGCAGGAGCCAGGGTGGCTAGCATTAACCATACCTCTGAAGCATGCACGAAGAGGGCATGCCGGTTGCAGGCCATGACGATTGTGGGGCGTTCACCATCACAGTTAAGTGCACATTCACTATAGCGCCCGCAGGCACAGATGGGACATATTGCATCTGGATGTAGAGGATGTTCACAATCCGGAAACAGGTGGCATCCCTGCCGACAGCGGGCCCAAAAAATTATACGGTTGTAGTGATGTCGACAAAGTCGATGCTTCCACAACCAAGTGTAACTGTGTCAGTGATCTCACAAAGGAGGAGGTCACAAGGTGTTAGTGCAGCATATGGGGGAATGAAGACATAATCAGGCACGGTGACAGACACGGAGGTAGGCACGGAGACACACAGAAACGGGCATGGAGACAGGTGTGGAGGCAAGCACAGAGACAGGTGCAGAGGCGGGGACGGAAGTACACGTAGTACCCACAGAGTCAGTAATCTGGAAGGAGACAGACATAGAAACAGGCACAGAGACAGGTACCGAGGCAGGCACAGAGATAGGCGTAGAGGCGGGCATGGAAGTACACGAGGTACCCATAGGGTCAATGACCTGGAACAATTGCAAGTTAGGGTAATTACGCACGAGGTCACAGATGGCAGTAATAGTTTGCACCATAGCACCACCATTCCATAATTCCCAAGAACCAGAGGCATGGACAACAACGGTGTAGTGGCCAGGAGTATGTAGAATATAGGCACAAACGTGCGAACAGTGGTCCGGGTCGCCACCCGAAGGGGCACGCTGCATATCAAGTCGGCGCCTTATCAAAGCAGTCTCCAAAACAGAGACATTGAATCCCCCATGTCGAGTGTAATTACTATCCTGTGGGGGATGCAAAGTCGGGTTATCGCCATATAACTCACGTTCATGAGCATCAAGATCGGAAGCAATGGCCAAGAAATCAGAGTGAGTATATGGTTCCCGACGATAGGCTTACAGGCAGATGTTAGTAGCATCGAGACCACACAAATTCGGTGGAGGCCAGTCAGGCAGATTTTCTACAAAATCTCCTACAGTCCCCTTGCCAAGTTCATCTCGGATAGCCTCTCGCCATCATCCCTCCTGTTTTGTGTTTGCCGCGCTGCAAAAAGGTCTGCAGTCGAAGAGCGTTGCAGGCGTGGTAAGGATGCTTGGGGCGGCAAAAGACGAGGACGGGATGTTGGGGAGGGACGTGGTGGGGAGAATGAACGGGTTCTTCTTCGTCCAAGAACAGAGATGGAGGAAAGGGGAGTAAGTTGAGGTTGGGAAGTAGGTCGAAGTCGTCGTCTAGGACGGCGAAGCGAGCTTTCTGCAGGGGCAGAACATGATGACGGAGTCTGTGTGGACGAAGTGGTTTGTGGATTAGGAAGAGGGGTAACGGATGGAGACAAAACCAGGGGAGGTAGGAGTGGTGAAGACACGGGTGGTAGAGTTGTCGGAAGGTGGGTAACAGACAGCGATAAAACCAGGGCAAATAGTGGTGAAGACAGGGGGATAAAGTCAGGGGTGGTGAAGTGGTTGAAGTAGAGACAGGGGGGGCAATCGTAGATGAGACCCGAAGATGGGACTCTGCAGGTGGTAATGCAGGCGTGGTCACGGATGCCATGGAGGAACGCACCGAGACCAAGGGCGACAAAGCAGCTGCGCTGGTCACGGATGCCATGGAGGAACACACCGCGACCAAGGGCGACACAACAGCTGCGGTGGCACCGGATGCCATGGAGGAACACACCGAGACCAAGGGCGACATAGCAGCTGCGGGTCGAGTTGCTCCCGCGGAATCAATCGTAGAAGCAACCAAGGCCGATGAGGAAGAGGCTCCAAACCGAAAAGGAGCAGCCAAGGTCACAAACGGCATGGAAGGGGTTACTAAGACTGATGAGGACGCATGTGCGGTAGACGCAAGCAATGAAGAAGAGGCAGTGATAGGTGCGACAGGCGCCGATAATGAAGAAGGGGTTGTGACAGGTGTCGTCCGAGGACAGTGTGTGGATACCCGAGAAAGCGGGTGATGAATAGACCATCGAAGCATGTTGCGGAACCAGCTGAAGAGGCGGGTCACGTGCGCAGGGTACCTGTGTTGACATTTACGAATATAGGAAGTCCATCCTTTCGCAAGCGTCGTTGGAAAGTGCCCGCGAAAAAGCATGCAGCGTGTGAGCATCGCTGCTGCAGTTTTGAAATCATACCAGTTGTTGCAGACATACTCAAACCTAGTAAGCTGGCTTGTAAACACTCCCGCCGGCTGGTGTGCAGGGACGTTAGACGTAGCACTAGGATAACGAATAACAGGGAAATTCCATTCAGCTGCTTTGTCAAAGACACTCATACGCAGGGAACCGTCAGGGCGGACTTGGAGGCGTGCACCTAAAAATGTGCAAGAGCCATCACGCGTTGTGGTCTCCTTCCATTCGAGGCCATAGTGTTCTGACGGTGGTGGCAGACGTCCCCATGAGATATCATCATCGATCAAGCGGTATGTGAACGCATACCATTGAGCTGCTCGAAGATCACACTGCTGGAGGTCATCAACAAATCGAGCCTCATCCCAATACAATGTCAAATTAGCTATCTCCGGACCAGAATTAGTCCCCATCGGGATGCCAATCAGCTGATGTCGCAAGGTGTCGTCCGCTGCATAAAGATACGTGTTTGTCACAATGAAATGGAGATGTTCAAGAATTTGGGAAACGGTCAAGGTGTTTGGTCTGATATCAACCGTCCACTCCCCTTGACGGGGCCCTTTTACAATCATGTTAAGGGTAGGAGGATGTGTGTGCCCCTGTGCGTGTTGTTGTAAGGCATATGTATAGGCGTCCTCAACCGCTTTTGATACATTATGACAAATACGGTCATGACGAAGATTGGTATACATAGTTGTGAAATCAACAGTGCGAGGAGCATGGTCACGAAGATAACAGGAATTACGTTTGAGATCAAGCATTACCTCCTCAGCGCTTTGCACAATCCAACACCGTCTCACACCGCTTTGCTGATACAACACATTATCCTTCTCACGGAGAGTTTCAATGACTCCTTGTAGTGCAACGTTGAGGCGGGTAGAAGAGACGGTAGTACTGGCCAAGGGTTTGTGGGCAGGTCGATGGTGGACTGCATGAACAGATGGCGCAGCTGATCGAGATCATTGCGGCAGGGAAAGATTATTCCGCTCCGTGAAGCGGACAATACTACGAAGCCAAGAGGGCGATTTGTGCACTTTAAGTGCATAGTACAGATATGGCAGCGTGTCTTTGTGTGTATATCCCCACCGATGATTCCAGAGAGTGTGATGTTCCAGGATATCTGCGACAGACTCAAGAGGCACATCATAGGTAGGGCTGTCCAAATGAGCAGATAGATGAGACAGGTACCAGTTTTTACAAGAGATTGCCAAGTTATGTGACATGTGAGGTCTTGTCGACCGGAACAATAGCAAAGTGTTGTTGAAGGTGTCTCAAAGCCTCGTGCACCGAGTGAAGGGAGTGTGGTTGTTGTGTGGTAGTGTGGGGGGATGAGATGTTGCTTTGGCAACGTGTGAGAACGGCTGAGCGCCACTAATGCAATTTGTTCAGAGTGTCCGGCCGAAGCTGCTCGGAGACCGACCTCAAGTATTTAGCAATATACTCGTCAAGGCCAGCCTGAAGCACATCAGCGATTTGTCCATTAAGACGATACTTCGAGCCTTCATGGAACAAGTCCCGGAGGCGATCACCAGGAATGATGTCGAGAACCCAATCCCATCATCATGTCCCGCGGTCATGGCTGCTTGTTTCCCTCTCCACTCCTTCCCCATGTTGCCCTGCCTCTACTAATTTTCCCGATCAGGAGAAAAAAA